CAGGCAGCAAACTCCACACTCGCTCACACTGATGATGTTACCTAGTTGGGCAATGAAACATCTGCAAGCAAACAACCAAGCTTAGAAAGCACCAAGAGTCCCACAGTTCAACCCTAAACTACAAATACTCTCTTCTGTTGAAAAATTATATTAAATTCTGTTAAAATTCTGTTAAAAATTATATTTTCACTCTCCTATATTTTCGGGGGAGAGGGGGCTGAGGCCTGGAAGCGCCGCTCCTGGTTATAGCACGAAGGCTGAAAGATGTTCCCCCAAGAAGGTAGACCGGCCCCTTCGGAGACGCTGACTGCGACGGTGCAATTCCAGTTTTTTGGGGGGAGTGAGATGTTGCCGTCGATAATTATTTTCCCTCTCTTCTGTATTTTCAGTGGTGGAACAATTGCTCCATGTGGTTATATCCTACCGTGGACAATTAAAAACCATACACATTCATGGGATGGTTTTTGCTGTAAGCAGCCGCGAGTCGGGGGGGGGGCGGGGATTCGGCTGCACACAACACTCAAAAACCACACAAATAAATGAATATCCATTAACTACCCAGAAAGCCTCCTGTCTTCCTAAGGCTGTTCTCCGATTCAATTTAATGGGCTCTTCAATTTCACACCGACTCAATGCTGACGGGCCTCCGGCACGGCTGGCTACACAGCGTCGGGGGACCTGGTATGATGTCAACACGACCCGCTTCTCCGTAACATTTATTTACAGAAATACAGCTGAATTACTCGCTTCAGGCAATCCCCGGACGGCTTCATTCCCACAACACGCTAACCCGGAAACAAGGCGATGGTGGTTTGGACGACTGAGTGACGCCTAGGTTTACGGATCAGTGAATTGCTGTACAAATTCGTTTAAAGTGAAAAACTTACCAGCTGTGGGGTTTCCTCCTTCACACGGAGGACCCCTCACCGCCGCTTCTCATCGCTCGTTCTTTCTCCCTTCGGGAAGGAATAACTTCCGATCGACTCCCTTCCGTCTATAGAGGTATAATAATAGATCCACACAGGTTGAGCAACTTCTGGCCTCAGTTTCAAATTTTTGTTCGCCTTCGTTGGGAGACCCTCAACTCACTGGCAACGTTCATAAAATTACATTAGACTAGATAATCATATGATTACTTAATTTCCAATTTGTACAGCGTATTTGCCACTTGGCTAGCAGCGCGACCCTCGCTCTTCAGGTAAATGCTGCAACACAATGAGGCATTCCTACTTTTTCTGTCAGACCTTCTTTCAAATGGGAAAAAAGAGATTTCAGTTTCTAAAAGCTGCGCACAGGCCCATGAAGAACTGCATGAGGTTTCGTCACTACAAAGTAACAAGATTTGGGCACGGAGGATGCAATTTAAATAGTTCGATCTTTGCTTAGTAATTTTTTTATTGGGCTATTTTTGAACGGAACTATCACCAAACTCTTTTTCATCTCTATTTTGGGAAATGTTGCAGGATTAATGTATGTTAGCCACAGGCCTCCTTACAATCTATAATATAGATATGATCATGATAATGAAGAATATTTGCGGCTACAGTAGCGGTGGAAGTAAAAAAACCCAAAACTTTCACTCAAAAGTTATTGAACGTTGTAACTTTTAAATTCCTATCTCTACGTTCCTGTACAGCAATGTAATAATGACGTGCCCTTTCCCACATTCAGCCCTGCGCAGGCCCGCGGGAATTTCATGAGTTCCGGTCTCTTTTTCTAGCGTATAGAACAGCCCTGGTCTTTTACTACCGCCACGAGACTGAGCGACACTGCTCCCAACCAATAGAGACCCAAGGCGCTCTTTTTACTGGACTTTTAAGCCGTGGAGCAAGAGAAGGCGTGGCCTCGGTTGCTAAGAAGCGGCTTGTGTGTAGAGCGTGTCGCTAGTCGGGTTTTCTTTCTCCGGTTTTGAGGGAGCTGTAACGGCTGAGGTGGCGATCGCGGTCGGGAAGGCAGAGGCGGCTGGACCATGGTGAGCGGAGATAGGATGTGCGCGCTGAGGAAGGAGATCGCCGCGGGGGAGGGGGTTCCTGTGATGGCAGGGCGTGAAAAGTCGCTTAGGGGAGGCAGCGACCCTTCCGAAGCATCCCCGTTTGAAGAAATGTTGAAACTTGAGCTAATAGCAATCCTGTAGCTCAATGGGATGATGGTTATTAGGGCTTTATTAATGTTACAGGGACCAGATTTTCTTGGAAAAAATAAAGGACAAATATGGAAAAGGGGCAAATCTGAAAGAGATTCATAAGGGTAAAAAAATATTGTTTATAACTTGGCTTTACAGAAGAAAATTCAAGAGCAAAAGCAAGAAAATAAATATTTAAATTAAATAAATCTAAAGGACAACTTTCTGAAATAAAGGATTATCCTGTATAATAAAGGAAAAATGAGGGGAAATGTACAGTGGCTTCCATAACGAGACTGCAGCTATATCCCACCTTTCTTCCAGGAAGCCAAATGTGGCATATATAGTTTTACATATTTTATCTTCACTGTAATCTTGAGAGGTAGGCTAGGCTGAGAAAGTGGTAGGCTACAACCATTCAGTGTTATTTATCATTAAATGGTATTTCAAATTAACTCTTTCACTCTTAGTTTGACATCTTTTCCATCCTTTTCACTGTTATCTCCAGCTAGCATGCCCAGTGATCAAGGAGGATCAGAGTTTCATTGGTAAATGTGTGAAAGAACCCACATTGGGATGACTGTTATAGTTACCAAACTGTTTCAGATTCTCTTCATAGTATCCTAATAAGCTGAGGTTTTCTTTAGATTTAGGGAGAGAATGCCTATTAACTTGGAGAAACATGAAGTCCTCTACATGCAGGAAGAGGAAGGCAAGATGGAAAAGGCAATAAGACAGTGAGAATTTCAGGCTGGATTTAGCCAGAATTTATGCCCTGGTTCACACAGTATGCTAAGCCATTATGTAGTTTGTGTGGGTCAGGCAAACACAGCCAATTTTGGAGTTTTGAACAAACAGTGATTTACCTCAGTGAGTGAACTCAGGCTGCATGGACTGTTCATGTACTTAGTAGAGTTGCTGTACATGCACTTGTTTGTAGTATTTCTTTATATGCAGATATAGAAGCAAAGGCACTATACAGTCTGTCTCAGAAATTGAACTGTGAAACAGATGTTATGGAAGTAAAACCATACAGCTATAAAACTATTGATTTATTTCTGAATAATGGGAGTTTGAATCTGGCTATTTAAGACTCTGTTTAAAACTGCAATTTTATGCATATTACTACATATGGAAGAATTTTGTTTAAGGCAGTGGGGTTTATATTTGCTATGCATAAATAAGGCATCATACATTATTTTTCCCATTACTCTCAGCTATTAATGATCTTTTACTTAATTCCTCTCAGCTGCTTTGTATGTCATTACTTAAACCTCCAAAATTCTACTCAGTTAATTTATTTAATCCTTTGTGAAAAGCTCCTTTTTTCCCCCTGGAATCCTTTCTTGGCCCAACAGTGATAACAATTTACTTTTTTCTCCTTCCTTTCATGTCCTTTCGCCACCCATAGCCTCTTTTCTATATATTTTATTCACTCATTTTACCTAAAATCTTTAAAACATTTCTCTTACCACAGTAATAGCTCTGTCTGAAATTCCCAACATTGCAACATTTGTGGAAAGAACAGTAGGGAAAAGTAGCCTTTCACATTGTTCAAAAAGAAAAGATTTCAAAAAAGGTGTGTGATTCATGTGAGCTCAAAGCTCACACCTGAAGGGTATGGCTATATGACACAATACAAATCACAGTATATAGTAAGGTGTACCATGGGCTATGGTGTGGCTGGTAGTTGGAGTTGTGGTTGGTAGGTTGGTGTATTGTAAGTTCTGTATAGATTGTGCAGTAAAAATCTGTGTACAGGTTTCTACAAACAGACTGTGGACTAGTTATTTTGCAATGCTCATGGAGCATCACAACGCAGTGTCTACGCTGATCCCCGACACATTTGTGGAAAGAACAGTAGGGAAAAGTAGCCTTTCACATTGTTTAAAAAGAAAAGATTTCAAAAAAGGTGTGTGATTCAGCCCAAAGAGGGGGAAAACAAAAATATAAAACTTTGTATAGGCAGGTAATGGCAGGTAAGTAATGATATGACCTGCTGCAATAAGGCTGCTGTGAAGAAATGTAATTGAATCTGGGTTATAATTATATAATGGATTGTTTGTAAAACAAGCAAGCGAAACAACAATGTATGGAAAACATAAACATTTTATCTTATGCTAGATATGTCCTCTAAAGGTTTATAGAGATGCTGAATTCCTGAACTTTTAATACAGGTTTTGAATCTAGTCGGAAGCTGACAGAATGCCTAAACATGCAGTGTTCTGCTTCTGATACCATATTATCCCTCTTTGCAGCTTTATGCCCAGTGTAAACTCTCTTTATGGATGGGATAATTTACTGTTCCATACATATATGTCAAAAAAACTATGCATGTAATGCTACATTGTACTCTAATGTTGCTGTACTTATAAAAAGTTCTAGTCTGAATGAATAAAAATTAAGATTTGGGAACCTAAAAATGCAAAGAGGGCAACAAATAAAGGATTAGGAAGTGAATTTATATTCCTAACTTCTTAACAAACAATACTTGATTTCATAAGTTTGGACTTAATAAACAAGATTGGGAAAGCAGGCAGAGATAGCTGCTTGCATTCTTTCCAGTTCCTGTACTACCAGTGATCATAGGAGCTTCTATATTTTCTTCTGTGTAGAAAATATAATCCTCCCCAGGGGCTTATCGGGTTATGTGCATTCTTGTTGCCTGTATATGTGTGAGTTTCTGAGGTCTAATCAGGGCAGGTTCTTATGTGTTTCCTCCATGTATCTCTGTGGACTTATCAGGAAGGGAGGATATGTACTTTCTCTGTGTAAGTCAGTCCCATGACAGTTGCTTCCAACTAAGAAACTGGTTTCCCACAATCTCATTCTTTAGATTTATTGAAAGGAACAGAGGTTAGGTTACAGCATCTTAAAAGCTGGGTATGTATACTTTAGCACCTCACTTTTCAGTAAATGCATCAAAGTGGACCCTCTTTGATCCCTCTGATAGTCTTTTTAACTGCCTCTTGATGCAAAAGAGAAGTTGCTACTGTTTGCTTGATACAGATGTACACAGATGTTCTGACCAATATTTTGCAACTCACCATTCCCCAACTCAGCAAATTACAGTATATTTCTGCTCTCCCTTTTGGTGTATCTGTATGTTTTTGTTTATTGTATGCATAGGATAGCACAGGGTGGGCTGCATCATGTGATTAGGAAGGAGAGTGGAGCAGGAATTAGAGTGGAGGAGTCAGCAATATTTCATGCTTCTACTCAACTGCCCTGCCATTGGAATTAAGGTTTTTTTTTTTCCTGGAACATTTTTCTCCACAGCCCCTGGCCTTATCTGGCCAGATTTTGTATTCAGCCTTTCCGTTGCCAGTTTCTTCCCCATATATGATCCCATTCTGTTCTGGTTTTGGAGAATTATTCTGCTGAAAGATAAACAGAGTCTTAGCCACAGTGACATAATTTCTTCCCAACATTCCATTGAGTTGAAATTTTTTAAAAAGGGGGCTTCCGGGGACAGCAGTGGAGGACTGAAGACAGCTCCGCTTTTGTGGAGCTGACGACCGTGGTGAAAAGAGGAGCCGGTGAGTGGATCAGCTCCTCGGAACCCCTCTCTGGATTAAGGAGAGGGCAAGGATTGCCCACAAGTTTGCTCCATACAGAATCTCCCTGCGAAGAGATAATAAAATAGCGATCTCCAGTGGCTCTGAGAGTTCTGGGAGCTGGGGGAAAAACATTGTGCCTAAGTTGCAGTTCAGCACCTTTCAAAGAGACACTGGGTTCATCTACTTCCTCTCTCAATTACTTTAGGAAGCTGCTTTTTACTGATTTCTTAGAAGCTAAGAATCATCCGAAGGGCAAGTTTTATTACGCTGGGAGGATCTCCTTCAACCCTGGATGAAAGAGGCTCTGTGTAAGTGTAAGGATTAAAAAAAAAATTACTTTTTGGAAACAGCAAAAGGGAGACTAGAATGTGGATTTTGGAAATAGGCAATCTAACTTTTTATTTATTTATTTATTTATTTTACAGCCAAAAGGCCCGAAAACAAGTTACAAATATAATGTAGACTTGACATTGAATAAAACAATTTAATAAATAAAATATTTTATAAATATTACATGATACACGTAAAGGCCCAACTCACTGATTTGTTACTAAAAACCTTATTTTTATAGCCATAGTTAAAAATCTGGCTGTTGCCGCTGTGATCTCAGGATTTTCATC